AGAAGGAGGAAGCAAGGTTGTGTGGAAGCGTCAGCCAAAGTCGCCCATCAGAGTCCATCTCCCAGGAATAGGCCTGTCACAGTGTCCCTAGTAGGGTCGTTGGCTGAGAGTAGCCTGTGTAAGCGTGGCCTCAGCATGAATGCAAGGATGGATTTCAGAGTGCAGCAGCTGGGACCCTCAGCCAATTATGCTCCTTTCAGAGATATGGAGACTTGTTCCCTTGGCTGCCACACAACACAATAATATTTGTATGTCTAAGGCAACATTTCTCAAAATACGTTCTGCAGAGCCTTGGCCCATAAGTATCTGCATGAGAATAAAAAAGGGGTTCCCTGATAAAATAATTGTGGGAGACACTGCATGCCCTCTCTCCCTCATGGAGGATCATAATGCTGATTAGCATATTAAGAGCTCTGAGAAGTCCTGTAGTAAGGAAACTTGCTTTATTTTTTTAGTCCAGCTATTTTTCAAACTTACTTGAATGAAGTCCCCCATACCATTTTTTTTTCGTATACTTTTTAGCACACTGCAGAATAAACTGAATACGCACTGAGAAAGGCTCTGTTAGGATATAGTTAACAATTTTTCTCCCAGTGAGTACATATAAAATCTATATTTCAGGTTGATTATCAATGAGATTGTATTTTGGAAGGATCATCTCCCCTTTGTTGTCCTCACAGGTAGCCCAGCTTCTGAGAGGACCAAGCACTATGATGGAGTTTTTGGCATTAGCCAGTATGTGGGAGAAAATGTGGGAAGCAGGTGTGACATTCTCAGAATCCCTAAAATTACACTCAGTGGGTATTTGCCCCTTCGATCTATTACTCAATACCAAACAACTAATCCAGCAGAAAACTGATTATTCTCTAGAATTAGTTTTGCACATTTTCCATTAAGAAGCAGTGCTATTTAAAATTTAGAATAGCTATTATATGGGAATATCAGTATCATAGATCATTTTTTTCTATAGTTTCCAAATTTTCTGTAGTGGAATATTTACTAATAAAAAGTAGATAGATGAGAGAGACAGAGAGAGATGATCGATAATCTGAGAGCACTGATATTTGAAGAAGCCATTTTAAGGGATAGATTAAATTTTCATAATTCTAAAATTTTGAATACCCATTTCTCAACATCAAGTTAGAGCTCTGGGAAATGTCATCTTGCTGGCCTTCCTCATCCTAGCATTCTCACATCCCTTCACTGAGCTAAATTTAATGTTCTACCTATCAATCAGCAGCCAGTCAAGAGACAGAAATCACATCAGTGATCTGACAAAGAACATTTACTATGAAGAATCAATAACTAGTAGAAGAGCATTAACTACCCAAGGGAGGAGGGAGGAGGAATGGCAGATGTGGGGAGCAGTCTTTAGGCTGAGGCAGAGCCCCCAAGAAAGAACACACTTGGCAAATGCCTTCCCTCCCAAGACTGAGATTCAGGCTTTGGTAGAGAGGGTGTGACTGCAACCCAGTGGCTTGTCAGGGAGTTTGCGGAGGGGCTGCCATTGGGGCTATTGAGCAGGAAGCTGCCCACAGGGGTACCGTGAGACTCACAGGAGGGTGGGCACCACTAGGTCTCCATACAGCACTGACAGATCAGCCCAGGGAGCAAAAACGAACAAACAGCAACAACAAAATCCTGGAACCAGAATAAGAAGCCTCTGCCTCTTCCTGTTATTCTCTGGCGCCTTCTACATCACTGGCGAGGGAGAAATGTTTATAGATTTCAGCTCTAAGATCATAAAGCAAGGCAAAGCAGGATGGGTTAGGAGCTGAAAGGCAGTGAATTAACAACAGATGCATTGGATCTTTTGCTTTTTTATTGAGGGCCAATGTCACACGAAGAATATTTCTGCATCTTCTGTGAAATTATTGCTAAAGTCATAACTGTGTTTTCCAACCTCCCTGATATAAGAACTGAGTAACAAGAAAGGATGAGCTAATGAGCATTAATTATTGGACCTAATCACTTGCTGCTTCCGTGCTCATCTGTCGGCAAGGCTTTCTCTGACTATCCTGTGTAAAATGTGAACCCCAAACCACCCTGGCCCTGCCTAGTCTCCTTTCCTGCTCTGCTTTTCCCCATAGAACTTCTCTCCTACTATCCTGCCATTTCCTTGCTTATTTTGTCCTTGTCTGTAGAATGTAAGCTCCATGAAGGTCAGGATCTTTGCCTATTTTGTTCATCGATGTGCCCTCAGCACCTAGAACAGTGCTGGACACATGCTAGGTAGTCTGTAAATATTTGTTGAATAAACGAGTCATCTACATGTATGGAAGAATGAGCGTACAACATGATAGTTTCTTAGTCTGAAATTGGGGTTGAATTATAGTGATAAGAGGAACTTAGACCCTCAAAGGTAGGGTTTACGAGTCATATGCCAAAGCCACAGAACGTGGTGACATTTCACAAATAATGATGACTCTGTTATGGTTCCAGACGTCAGAATGGTAAATAAAACTTTCCTCTTGCCTCCACTTCAGACCTCTAAATCATTCCTTCCTACCAATTTAGAAGTTTCAAGAATCCCATGGCCTTGGAGATCTAATACACAGTACAGTGATTATAGACAACAAAACTGTATTATAAACATTCAACTTGCTAAGAGAATAGATCTTAATTGTTCCCACCACTAGAAGAAATGATAATCATGTGACAAAACAGAGGTGTTAGCTAAAGCTACAATGGCAATCATGTTGCAGTATCAATGTATCAAATCAATGTGTTCTACATGTTAAACTTACACAATGTTATATGTCAATTACATCTCAGTTAAAAAAAGGAAGAATCCCATGGCCTGAGTGTGGAAAAGCAGAATTCTGGGAATGAAGCCAAAATAAAATAATACTGAAAGTGAAGGCCATGTGAGTATTGGGAAGTTAGGGTGATTCTAAATTTACAAAACAGGGTTTTTCTTTGGGAAACCAAATTTCACATGATTCTGTGACATGTATGAGGTAACTGCCTGCTGCTATTTTCTTCAGCTTAACCATAACTTGTGCAGTATGTGTATTCATGGGGTTTCTCAAGTTTCAAAGTCTGACTTGACTCATCCCCTTGCCTGGGACTGACCGGTGAGCATCGGCAATAAAGCAACACGAGTCACCATCACTTACTCTCTCAAGGTTGTGGGGTGTCCTGGTGTAGCTCCAAATAGCCCAGCAAAGGAGGTAGAGCCCCAGGAGGAAGGACCACTGCTGATCCCAGGGCAGTGGCCGCCACCAGTAGGCAGAGCTTCCCAGGGCACGGTGACCCTCACTCACTCACAGAAGCCCATGCTGGGTGGGACGGGCGGGAGAGGACTCGTTGGGAAGCCTTCACAGCCTGGGTTCCCACCAGCACCAACCCCTCCGTACGGAGGAGCATCACTTTGATGTTTCCCTTCAGTTAAACTTACTGCTAAACACATGCTGGCCTGGGCTCTTTTTGTTTATTTTTCCTTTCTCTTAATAGTGTCCTCATTTCCATTTCTGTTTTAGTAGATCCAAGTTCTGTATTGAATGCTATCTCAAACACATCTTTGGCATTAACAGGATGTCATTTAACCAGTGATATGAATGCTAAACTAATGTGTAAGGCTGATTCCCAAATTAGGTCCCTCATAGGTACAAGTAGTTGATTCGGGAGAAGTTTATACAGATTTTTCAGTTATTTCAAGTTCCTCTTCTCAGTTCGTCCTTCTTCCAAACCGCCCCCGTGCCTTTCCCTCCTCCACGCTGTCTCCTCCCAGCACTCCAGATCTGGGTTCTTCCCTCAGTCTCCTTTCTCCCCGGCGTCAAACCTCGCCCCACCCTCAGCCTCAGTCTGGGGTTGAACTTGTTCCCCTGGCATTCTCTGCAGCTCCGACTGGGTGACGCCTCCGTGTCCTCACCATGGAATTTTCCTGCACTGGGTTCTCCTTTTTGGAGGAGGGTCAGCTCCTAACAGCTTGCCTAACTCCTTGCTTTCCTCAGTATCAATGCCCATGGCTGCCCTGAGCTCATGGGCACTAAGGCCCCTTCTTGCACCCCCCTTCCCGACTGACATTGCTCTGTGGCTTCGATTTTCCCAAAATCCTTTCTGGGGACCCCATGCCTCAGCCAAAGCACAGTGTCTCTCAAAAGTGACAACAAAAACCCAAGCGCACGCCGCTCACTGTGGTTCTCCATGCCATGTTCACTCAGGGAGTGGGCTTCTGCTGAGGCTGATGAAATGCTGCAGGCGAGCATTAGGCCCCTGGGGTCTGAGTGCATAGTCACCATGTGACATTCTTCTCCTCAGCTGCTAGCTGTTACCTGCTCAGAGTGGTAGATGCCAGCAGTGCCTTCGCACACACCCTTAGTATCGCCAAGGAGCAGCGGGAGCTTAGTTCCCTTATCTAGGGCGGCCAGGAGGACGGCTGTCTGAAGGGCACAGGGAAATCAGAGGCGGGGTACAGGGAAGCGGGAGGAGGAAACAACTTCCTAGTTCCTCTCAGAGGCTTAAGAAACACTCAAGGGTCTGGGGGAGCTTTCAAGTTGCTTTATTTCGGGGAGTCCCCGAGAACTGTGACTGGTGAGGTAGAGCTACCAGGGGGATAAAGAGTGGTTTCTTTTGCCCTTAACGGTCAGGACCGTCTGTTCCGAAGGAAGCTGGTCTCTCAACTGTCCCGGGCCATTCCCACAGCAACTCAGATGGTGGGTCAGGAGGCTGTGCCCTTCTCCGCAGAAACTGGGTCAAGTGGTAAGTCAACTGTGTATTTAACCAGTTAGTGCATGTGGATGCTGAAGATGGTTTCACTTTTGCAAACATTTGTTTATATCTTTCGAGAGAAGAACTCAGACCTCTCAGCCTGTCACAGGAAGCTGTTTCAGGGGGTGAGCAAACTTTTTAACCACATAGAAATTACAACTGACTCTAATTTCGTGAAACTAAACCACAGTACTTGGGTGTCTTTAATTGTGTATTCTCTTATGTGTCTTCAAGTAGGCAAGAATTTCTTGTTTTTACTGAGAGAATTAACTTCTATGAAGACGTGTCACGTTTTATTTCTCTGTGGTGATAGCACTCTACTGAGCACCTAAGGGCTTAATGAATAGACCAATTCTAGTAGCTGCTCTGGGGAGGTAGGGAGGTGTTAAAGAAATGTTTATGTTCTGTCTTCTGTGATGTAGACCTACTCTGGCTGAAATTAAGCACCAGAAGAGGAATGTATGGCTTCATGGGCACTAGTCTGTGTGTGTTTCCTCCAGGACCCTACAGCTGTATGAAAGGGTAATAATCTTTCATTTATCCACAGGGCAGCCTGAAGATGGCTAATCACACGCCCACAGAGGATGACTATGACGTCCTCATAGAGGACGATCTGAAGAACAACGAGATAGAACAATGCGACCAATATGACAACAAGATTCTCTCAACCCAGCTGGTGCCACCCCTCTACACGATGGTGTTCATACTTGGTCTCCTGGACAATCTCTTGGCTGTGCTTATCCTGGTAAAACATAAAGGACTCAAAAAAGTGGGAAATATCTATTTCCTAAACTTGGCACTTTCTAATTTGTGTTTCTTGGTCACCCTGCTGTTCTGGGCTCACTCTGCTGCCCGTGGGGGGATTCTCGGCGATCCCATGTGTCAAATTCTTGTTGCGCTCTCCTCTGTAGGCCTATACAGTGAGGCGTTTTTCAACGTCCTTCTGACTGTGCAAAGGTACCTGGTGTTTTTTGATGTGGAGACCCTTTCCTTGGTGCCCTGTGGCATCATCACAAGTATCCTGGCATGGATAACAGCCGTTCTGGTCTCTTTGCCAGAATTCATGTTTTACAAACCTCAGATGGAAAGCCAGAAATACAAGTGTTTCTTTAGCAAACCTCATTTCCTGCCAGCTGATGAGACATTCTGGAATCAGTTTCTGACCTTGAAGATGAACATTTTGGGACTTCTTTTCCCACTGTTTGTTTTTATATTTTGCTACGTGGGAATGAGAAAGACACTAAGGTTTGGGGAGAGCAACTATGACATTTACAAGCTTGTTTTTGCCGTAATGGTTGTTTTCCTTCTGATGTGGGGACCCTACAATGTTGCGCTTTTCCTGTCTGCTTTCAAAGAATACTTCTCCCTGCAAGGCTGCAGGAGCAGCTACAACCTGGACAGAAGTGTTCAGATCGTGAAAATCATCGCCACTACCCACTGCTGTGTCAACCCGCTCCTCTACGTATTTCTTGACAAGGAATTTAGGAGACATCTCTGCCACCTTTGCTATCGGTGTAATAGCACTCCACTGCAACCCACTAAGAGACCCACACAACATACACAACAGCACAGGGAAGAAGAGGACGCATCTACTGAAGTGTAAACTAGCCTCCATCAGAGGAAGGATAAATAAACATCGATTTTTGTCTCGTTACGTTGTTTTGTGTAACTGTTTTTACACATTTGTGTATAAAATAGCATACAGGAAGAAAAGGGGAGGTGAGCAAACATTTGCCAAGCGTCGACTTTGTCCCCAGCGCCGTGTTACGCTCTTTACAAATGGTAGCCCCTTCGCTCCACACTGCCCGTCCGTTGTGTGGGTGGGACTGGTCTCATTTCTCTGAGGAGGAAACTGAGGCTCAGAAATTTGTATGAGATGACACAGCTAGAAAGTGGCAGGGCTGGGACACAAACCCGGGTGCCATTCGCTCCAGAGTCCAGGCTTTGTCTCACTTCCAAAAATTGGGACAGAAAACACATAAAATAAATGTGTACTTGAACATAGAATAAAATAAATATGTGCTTTTAAACCAGTTGGACCACATTCCAAATTAGAAGCAACCCATTCACACAGAAGTAATTTTTCAGGCACATTTTATTGCATGTAATTGAGAGAACTAGCTAGCTGGAGGCTGTAGATGAAAAAAGGTACAGTGGTTTGCTCTGTGAAGGTCTCCAGGTTTTCCTGGCTACTCGCCATACCCCCGAGGCCCCCAGATACCCCCAACCTGTGAGCCTCCCAAGGTGTCCAGTACTTCCTCCTATTATATAACAATAGTAAATGGAAGATTTTGTTTAGAAATGTTTAACACAATGCATGCTGTGTCCTTTTCAGTGTAACATATACTTCAGGCCTCACCGGCCTGTGACTACAAAACCATGTCCCCCCTCCTTTCTATAGCTAAATTCATAGTGCACAGGCTCCCACCTGCCACATCAGCAGGAGACCAACTCCTCAGCAGGGTTACCTCCCTGGACCCCCAGATCTGTAAGAGTGGCTCAGCCTTGATCCTAAAACAGCCCTCCTGACTCCGTTGTTCAGAGCTGGACCCCACACTCACTGGTCTCTTGTTACTCTCACCCCTGGTCTCTGAGGCCTTGAGGAAACCACTGTCTTGCTGCCACGGGACACTGCACTGTTCACGGCTGAGTCCTGCAGACATGGGGCCCGGGCCAGCTGCCTCCTCCTGCTGGCCCAGCAGCTTTGCACTGAAGAGAACTGGCGGCCTGGCATCAATGCCTGCTGAAGACCTAACCAAGTCACCCACTCCTGCTGTACCCAAGGGCACCAGCCCACATGGCTCCCCTCCTTGCATCAGACACATGTTCATGCCATTGAAACTTAGAGGAAAGCAGTGGGCCTCTATCCCTCCCTCACAGGAGGCTCCTTCCTTCCTGTCTAAAATTGATGAGTGCAAATAGATACACAGGGACATCTAATCCATCGAAAGCCTAGCTTTTGACAAACCAGAAAGTGTCCTTTATTTCTTCCTCAAGAACAGTAGATGGAAATTTGCCTTAGTTATTTTTCTTTTTTTAATTAAACTTTTTTTTGATAAATTTGAGGTGTTAAATTTTGTAAATTTAAGATGTACACCATGTTACATTGATACACTTGTATACTGTAATATGATTGCCAATGTAACAGTATTTATCACATTACATAATTATAGTACAGTATTATTATCTATATTCATTATACTGTGCATTACAGCTGTATGGTTTATTTACCACTTGTTATAAGTTTGTACTGTTAAACACCATCAGTCTGATCCCTCCACACCCTATCCCCTGGTAACCACTGTTTTACTCTGTTTTTTTACAGGTTTGACTTGTGTGTGTGTGTGTGTGTGTGTGTGTGCGTGAGGAAGATCAGCCCTGAGCTAACATCCATGCCAATCCTCCTCTTTTTGCTGAGGAAGACTGGCCCTGG